TGGGTGGCCTTTGTCCCTGCTTACATTAGCTCTCCTGGTAAGTATGTTGTCGCTGTGGAAATTTTTGCAATTCTGGCCTCCAGCTATGGTTTACTGCTCTGCATTTTTGCCCCCAAATGTTTCATTATTCTCTTGAGGCCTGACAAAAACACTAAGAAACACCTGATGGCCAGATAGTTATTCTGTAGTTTTCTTGAATGTGAGCAAATGACGCATATTTGTCTGGTGATATAATGAATGCATTCACGTCTATATGTTTTTTCAAATCATTTGATCTAAATAATATTCATTCTTAATGAGCTCTATGAAGTAAAAAAATAAATGTCTTTCATCCACACATAGTTTGTGTGAAGTGAAACTGAAAATTTCTTCTTTTCTTAGACATTAAAGAAAAATACACATTTAAATTAGATATGTTTGATATCTATGTACCTTTCTTGGACACATGTTTATTTGTGACAAATTATGTAGCGGGTGTAACATTGTATGTTATTTTCATTATACTTTATACATGGATTACTTCAAAGTGAATAATAAAGACATTTCACTTTCACAGTGGGTCAATGTCATATGTTCTGGCTTGACATATTTGGTTAAAATAAGTTTACTTGCTATTAAAAAACCGGGGCTTCAGAATGTCTCATCACAGTAGTTTACATTGATATCAAAATCATAACAGTGAGAAATTTATTAAAATCTGCTATGCATTATTCTACAGTTAATACACTTAATACACAATACAAAGATGGAATGATGAGGCCTGACAACATGGACATCGTCCTGCTTAAACTGCACGTACTATAAGAAACAACCACTAGATGGAAGTATTATACCATTTAATGATGCTGTGAAGCTTCTGTCCTCATCCTTTAACAAGGTTTCTTCCTTGTGGGACTTGCAGTACATCTGCAATTATCATATGCAGCTGTGCAACATCTCTGTCATTCTCTACTGTTAATTTAAGTATTTGCTAGTAATATTCAGTAGCATTCTCTACTAAGTACTGATCAAGAAAATCTATTCTGTAGTTAATAGACTTTATTGATCCCACACTGGGAAAATTCACTCGGTACAGTAGCTCCAGATACAACACAGCAGATAAGAAAAATACACAAAGAAATAGTATAGAAAAATACAACATATGATGAATAGAATAAGAGTAGTAGTATACTATACAACTTGTTTATACAGATGTGACTGATATGGAACATTGCACAGGCTACAGCAGGACATAGCGGCATGGTGTAAAAAATAAATGATAGCACAGGACAAAAATATATACACAGCAGTACAGCTTAGCAGAAAATATAGACTAGGGTATGCATATACAGTACAGGTCTAATTACTAGTTATGTGCTTAGGAAATATATATATGTGTGAAACAGTAAAGTACTAATAGTGCAAATTGTGTATTAAATAGTGCAAAAAAACTGACTGTGATAAGTGTTGACAGATGTTACAGAGACAAAACGGTGCTACATTATGTAGTTGCTGAGTTAAAGAGTCTGATAGCTGTTGGGATGAAGGAACTGCTGTAGTGCTCCTTCTCCTTGCACTGTGTGTGCAGCAGTCTGTTACTGAAGGAGTTGCTCAGGGACCCCACAGCAGGCAGGGGTGAGAGGTGTTGTGCAAAACTGACGTCAGCTTTGCTAACATCCTCCTCTCACCCACCTCCTCTATGGAGTCTAGAGGGCAGTCCAGGACAGAACTAGCCATCTTAACCAGTTTATTTAGTCTTTTCGGGCCCTCTCGGTGGTTCCAGCTTTATCATATCATCATATCATAACTTTAATCTAATTACATTTATGCGATTTAATAGTGTCTCTTACCTGCCTGGTAAACATCCAAGTCTTCCAAATTTCCTGTTCTATAAATGTTTATTATCCCCTTATGTCATCACTAGGGTTGTTTTTAGACTTTCCACTCTCATTCTCACTGTTTTCACAAGTATTGAGTGCAGTTCCCCTTTATGTGTGTTTAATCAGACTGGTTTCGGTTCAATGCATCCATGTGTGGAAGAGTTTATGTCCTACTTGTGTGGCCTTTAACTTACCCTCAGTGCAGAGGGACCCTGAAAGGGATGCCTGCTTTCTTATAAACAGATTCCTGCCCATTCTTGTATCAGTTTTGGAGTAAAACATAAACCGTACATATTATTTTTGATGTCACCGTCAAACTGAATGCATCACAGTGAGTGCATAGGTAGAAGGTAAAGCCAGTATGAAATATAATAAAGCTTATTGCAACCTTTCTTCCTTTTTACTTGTGTTTCTGATAATGCAGAAACTGGATCAGTCATAGTGTTTGAGGGCAACATTACTCAATCTGTTCCAAATTTGCATTCTGCGGCTATAATAATTGATCTACTGTAGATATTTTGTTTTCAAATGATAGCAGTGTGCTAGCTATCACCTGCAAAGCCATGAAAAACAACAACAACATCATGCACACGGCTTAATTTTTCCCCTCGGTGCCACCTTTCTGTCAGTGTGTAATGGGATGTAATTGCTCGTAAAATGAACAATGATGGAGGTGAGGAATATCACACCTGCGGCTCATAAGTACCTCCTCCCGTAACTGACATGAATTAATTTTCATCTAACTGATGAGATGACCATATGCCCTTTAGAAGCAGCCATCCAGGCCCAATGAGCCTGAGCAAAGTCAGACTTGCCTTCCCAACTCGTTTTCATTTTGTAAATTGACAGCATGCAAACCCTAATTTTTACTGTAAGTTATTCTGTAGTCCTTTCTATTGACTGCCCTCTTCGTGCCATGTGGAAGCTCCTTAAAGTTGTGATGTATTTGCTTCTTAGTCTACACATACACGTACAAAAGCAGCTGACACAAGTGGCATTGTTCACATGCTTGCCTGCATGCATTATGTGGACAACTAAAAAACATATCCACTCTGAGACAGATCAGCGAGTCGTTCCTGGTTCTGGAATATTTTGTATCGCATGGGCTCAAACACTTACAGCGCCATCAAGCTCAGTTAGTTTCTTTTCTCAACTTTCAGCCATTGCTGGAAACCTTGACAAATCAAACCATAATTATCTCTATAGATAGATTGATTTGGACTTACTGCAAGTTATTGTAATACTATATATATATATATTAAAGCATTGTCTTTTTTACTTTCCATCACAATAATAATACTGTGTATGTACATTTTCCAAAAGGTCTTCATACCAAACCTTTATTGACACAGCCAAGAGAAGGTGTGAGAGGTGTGGCCCTGTTTTTTGTGAGACCCTGTGAATTAATTTATTAAAATGAAAATCAATTTGATGCAGCGTCATCCTGTTTACATTATTCCACCGTGGGGTTTACAGCTGTTATAAATATCCAGAACAACATCTATGTTTTGCAGAGCAGGGGGAGGGGTATGTCATGCTTTAGATAACTGTCTGTTGTCAGTGCAAATTGGACCTGTCATAACATGCATTTTTGTCACTAAAATCATTTTGCTTTACAGGTGGACTTCTCAAGACCAACATATTAACTTTATTTTCTTACATTAAGAAGAATTTTACCTTTTCATGTCAGGAACTGTTAAATGTTTATTGCACCTCTTATTTGTTCCAAGACGTTATCTAACTGAATATACTGTACATATTTAAACTGTCCAGAACAGCTCCATCCATGTCTTGGTTCTCCTTGCTCTTCACTCTGTGGCCCTCCTTAGCCCCATCCATGCTCCTTGTGGGGCTTGTGGGCAGACAGCTGGGGCTCAGGGTTGGGTTGCAGGTGGTTCAGACAATGACTTGTTCTCGGTGGGGTACACCGAGTGCCCAGGGTCTATTCCAGGATGGAGATTTAGTTATTGGTGGGCTGTTTAGTCTTTACTATCAACCTCCAGCTACAGCCCATGACTTTACTCAGCTGCCACACTACAAACCTTGCACTGGGTAAAACTCTGAACTGCATTGTCAAGTGTGAATACTGTATTATATATGAATATGTTTGACACACAAGACCTATTTTAGCTGTATCTTACTATCTTAATATCTTACCTTAATTATTGGTGGTTCCTTCACCTTAAGATTAAGATATTAAAAAGCTGTTATATTTGCTTATCCAATAGATACACAATTATTACCTAGCAACAGATTAGCAGTTTTTCAACTGATAATTTTCTCATTCCTTCTGTCCTGTGGTCTCAGGTTGGAAAATCTTCCATTACAGTACATATACGCTATGTTGTTTGCGCTGGAGGAAATCAATCATAACTCAACCTTGCTACCAAATGTGCAGCTGGGCTACCATATTCATGATAGCTGTGCCCTGCCTCCTTGGGCTATGCAGGCAGCACTGTCACTGGTTGGAGGAGACAGCACCAGCTGTAATTCAGAAGCCCTGCCAGATTATTCTGCTGGGTATGGAGAGGGAGCCGGAGAAAGCAAAGGTACTAAATCAAGCTTTTCATGGAACTGATGTACTTCTCAATTAATAACATCATGAATATAATTATGACATCATAAACACTGTAATGTTGTGTTTAAACAGAACTAAGTATTATGTTTGTTTAATAAATTACTTTATATCAATATGTTTTATAATGCCATCAGGGGATCGGCCTGTTCCTTTGATCATTGGTGGTTCCTCATCTATAACAGCCATGATACTCTGCAGAGTCCTGGGGCCACTCTCTGTACCTTTAGTGAGTTCAATTAAATTCCGCAAATGTATTGGATTATGTAGAAGATAAAGAAAAACACTTTTTTGATTGAAAAAAAACTATACTTCTATTTTAAAATGTTCACAATATGAAAACTTGGATAGATTACAGCTATCTTTATGTGATATTTCGGAATAATTGTGTTATTTCAGAATATCTATGTATGTACTATATGTTTTTGTCTTTTAGATGAGCTACACAGCCAGCTGTCCCTGTTTAAGTGACAGGCGCCAATTTCCTAACTTCTTCAGAACCATGCCCAGTGATATTTATCAAGCTCGGGCCATTGCCCAGCTTGCCATTCGCTTCAGTTGGACCTGGATCGGTGCAGTAGTAGCAAACAACGATTATGGCCACATGGCAGTAAAGGTGTTTCCATTTTTTGTAGGAGAAATGTTATGGCATCTATACAAGAAATTCACATTAATAAAATATTTTAATACTTCATTTGTCTAATCTTTTTGCTCCTTTCAACCGTATGTGACAGGTATTCCAGGAGGAGACTCAGGGGAAAGGGCTGTGTTTGGCGTTTGTAGAGACTCTCCAAAGGGAAAACATTGTAAATGATGCCAGACGAGCAGCACTAACAATTCAAGCCTCGACTGCGAGGGTGATTCTGATCTTTACCTGGTACACTGATGTGAGGGAACTGTTTCTGCAACTAGCCAATATAAATGTGAGCAACTGAAATAAAAATGTGTATCAAATATTGTCAGTGCCATCCAGATTTTATTTTACAAACAATATAGCTTGTTAAAAATCATGTTTAACTTGATCTCGTCTCTCACTAGGTGACCGACAGACAGTTTCTGGCCAGTGAAGCTTGGAGCACCAGTGGTAATCTTCTACAAAATCCTATCACTTCCAAAGTGGCAAAAGGTGTTCTTGGTGTGGCCATTCGAAGTTCACCTATACCTGGATTTGAAAATTATCTCAGAAGTTTGCACCCATCTCGTCGTCCTCACGATGAGTTTTTAATAGAATTCTGGGAAAATGAGTTTGGTTGTACCCCTGCGGCCACCCTTCTTTCTTCATATGCCTCTCTACCACCAGCTAATGCTAACAGGTTGCTTCAAAAATCTACTCTACCACCCTGCAGTGGGACAGAGTCTCTGGAGGGAGTGCAAAATATCTTTACTGACACTTCTCAGCTAAGGGTGACATATAATGTCTATCTTGCTGTTTATGCTGCAGCCCATGCCCTTCACAGTCTTCTGTCCTGCCCTGACAGAGACAGCCCTTCTGGAAACAACAGCTCTATGTGCTCCTCTCCAAAACACATAAAACCCTTAGAGGTAAACACAATTGTATAAAATGTATATTTCCACACTTATGTGAAATGCATTTAGACTTTCACAATGTAATGGGGACATTAAACAGTTGCATTTGTCACATAAAACAAAGTGCCAATACTTTTAATCTACTTTAAGTAAAATATTTACTATTTAAACAATTTGATGCTTTCAGCTTTTGCAGCACTTGAACAACTTGAATTTCACCACACCACAGGGTGAACTGTTATATTTCCAAGGGGGCGACATTCCAGCAAAGTACGACCTTGTAAATTGGCAAAAGACCCCTGAGGGGTCACAAAAACTTGTCTTGATTGGTCGTGTAGACGGGTTTGATCTACAACTGAATGAGTCAGCTATTCAGTGGAGCACAGGATCCAGTCAGGTGGTTATAGAGTACTAATCTTGAGGCCACTAACAAAATGTGTATCGAATCAAATCTTTTTCTATGATTCATAAGACATATGTATGTACATGAGAAAATAGTTTTACTTTTTGTTTAGGTGCCTGTTTCAGTGTGCAGTGAGAGCTGTCCCCCAGGTACCCGAAAGGCCAACAGGAAAGGAGAACCTCTCTGCTGCTTTGACTGTATCCCATGTGCTGATGGGGAGATTAGCAATAAAATTGGTGAGGAAATCATTACAAAAGACATTCCTATAAATATTTTATCCTGTCGGTACTGAATTTGCAATAGCACAATCAGCCAATATGCAGCAACCCTGACTTTGTATATTGCATTCAGCTCATCTACAATTTTGATTTGATTTGATTTTGAAATGTGTCCTCCATCCCTCTTTTGTGTGTCTTCCTCTCCCAGGTTCCCTTCACTGTGAGCGTTGTCCTTCTGAGTTCTGGTCCAATGCTAAACGAACAGCCTGTGTTCCACGTCAGCTGGACTTCCTTTCCTTTAATGAAACTTTGGGCATTACTCTGACTACAGTAGCTATGTCTGGTGCTGCGGTGACAACAGCTGTGTTTGTAGTGTTTATTTGCTACCGTCAAACACCTATGGTAAGAACCCAGAAATACACTGTGCATTTTCTACAAAGGGGTGCAGTCTTTTTAATATCAATTTAATCCAAGTTCTCATGTTAAGGTGAGAGCCAACAATTCAGAACTGAGCTTCCTGCTGCTCCTGTCGCTGAAGCTCTGCTTCCTGTGCTCACTGGTCTTCATTGGTCGTCCATCAGTCTGGTCTTGTCGGTTCCAGCAGGCAGCTTTTGGGATCAGCTTTGTACTTTGTGTTTCCTGCCTCCAAGTCAAGACGATAGTAGTTCTTGCAGCATTTCGCTCAGCTCGGCCTGGTGCTGGAGCCTTAATGAAGTGGTTTGGTCCAGGACAACAGAGAGGAAGTGTCTGCCTCTTTACCTGTATACAAGTCAGAATAGCATATGCATTTATTAATGAAAAAAATACTCTAGTATTCAAATTATTATATTGCTACAGCATTGTACATACATTCCCTGACATTGTGCAATGTTTTTTTTTTCATCAAGGTTATCATCTGCATTATTTGGCTATTGCTGAGCCCTCCGGTGCCCCAAGCTGACTTGGATATCCCGGGGTTACAGGTCACCCTGAAGTGTGCCATGGCCTCTGTGGTGGGCTTCTCTCTGGTTCTGGGCTACATTGGCCTGCTGGCCTGCTCCTGCCTCCTTTTGGCCTTTCTTGCTCGGAAACTCCCTGACAACTTCAATGAGGCCAAACTGATCACCTTCAGCATGCTGATATTCTGTGCTGTCTGGGTGGCCTTTGTCCCTGCTTACGTTAGCTCTCCTGGAAAATATGCAGTTGCTGTAGAGATTTTTGCAATCCTGGCCTCCAGCTATGGGTTACTGCTCTGCATTTTTGCCCCCAAATGTTTCATCATTCTTTTGAGGCCTGAGAAAAACACCAAGAAACACCTGATGGGCAGGTAGCAAAGAAAATAAAAATGCATGATGTGATTTAAGAAATGAGAGGTAAAAAAATAAAAAATAACACCTCAAGTAATATATCAGATATTGATTAAAAAGTAAAGCAATCTATTAAGTTATTACATCATTATTAATCTATATAGTACTCTGTGGTAAAAAAAAAAAATCTTTTCTTTTCTGACTATAAATTGTGAATGATGAATTTTTGCTACTGTCGGCTAGCTACTGTCATTTGTTTGACAACATATCATAAAGTTAATTCACACTGTCAATTGAATTGTTGGTGTTACAAATAAAAAAAATGCATTTTGTATATTTTTCAAACAATGCAATCAAAATATAGAAATGAAAAATGAAGATATAGGCCTGTTTTAATTCAATGTTTGCCACTATTACTAATGTTACAAACACTGTACAGCATAAGATAAATAACATTAATAACCAAAAATAAAAGTGAGTTGCAAGGTTATGTTTTTGTTGTTTGATTTTTTGTGGTTCGCAGGTTGTGCCATGATCACTAATTTTGAGAGAAGTTACATAAAATTACACTTCACAATAGTTAAAAGAATTGCCATTTTAGAGATAAAGTTAGAACCCCAGAAATGAGACCATTTGAAGTATTATAGGCAAAGTAATGAAAGGGTGCTCAGAATATAAGAACTTACATATTGGAGTTCTTATGACATTTGTGGTTAATATCAAAATAATTATTAAACCGTTTCTATATATGTACTGAATTAAATGTTATTGAACCTAAGGAAAGATAAAGCTGTTTTGGGCGACTTGAACCCTTTCTGGTTAAACCATAACCTCTTCACTCAGTCTTCAGCGCTTCTGAATCAAATGAGGAAACGGTGGTCTCATTTAAAATGCCCACTAATATAAATCAAATATTTTAAACTACCGCGATATCTCAGTTGTAATATAGTCTGGATCCTCTGCATTTTACTTCTCTATATGAAGCTTCTGTAAAACCAGTCCAGATACAGTTTTGCAAAGAAGAGGGAACGGGGAGCATTTAGAAAAAAAGATGTACCCAAGGAACTCTATTCATCTTTATGAGTAAAAGTGAAGAATCCTGCCAACATCCTGCTTAATCTTGTTAATACTTGAGAATCACTGACCTTACAAGATAAAAAGTGGAACGTTTTTCTATGTCTGAATAGGTGATACCTGTTATCTCAATTTTCGGTTTGTTATCACGCTACAAGCCAAGTTTCCCATGCAGCACAACAAAGACTCAACTGCTTTTGTGAGCTATAAGAACAGATGTTGCCCAAGAAAGAGAAAAAAACTTTTAACACACTAAAATCCCCCAGGTATGATGCTGTGATATAAGACTGAAAAGTAAGATATCCCCAGCATACGAAGAAAATGTATGTCGAGATTCTGGATGAGGACCTGTATCCAGATCCAATAGTATACACATTTAGATTATAATATATCATACTACATTATATAACAATAAAAAATAAAAGCTGTCAAAGATCCAGTCTGTAATCTTCTTATCACCCCCTTGGAACTTTCCACATTTTTGTGAATTTATTCCAGTGTTATACCCATGTTCTAATGGTAAAAACAGACAAAATACTATATTGACTTGCACTTCACCCCTTTTTCTTCATATGCCTCTTCTTCCCTCAAGTCTGTAACACTTGCAGAAAGTTCTAGTCATTTATTAAACATTTCTACAACATCCCCTGCCAGTAGACCTGTTCAAAAGGCTTATCTACCACCCTGCAGTGGAACATTGTCCCTGGAGGGAGTGCAGAATCTTTTTACTGACACCTCTCAGCTAAGGGTGCCTGTTTCAGCGTGCAGTGAGAGCTGACCCCCAGGTACCCGAAAGGCCAACAGCTGCTGCTGCTTTGACTGTATACCATGTGCTGATGGGGAGATTAGCAATAAAACTGGTGAGGTTTTACAATATAAAAAAATCAGATAGTCATGTCAAAATGCAGTGAAACTGACACCTCAATCTGCACGTTTCCCCTTTTTGTTTTACTCTCTTCTCCCATTCACTCTTTTCTCTTCTCTAGGTTCCCTTCACTGTGAGCGTTGTCCTTCTGAGTTCTGGTCCAATGTTGAACAAACAGCCTGTGTTCCTCGCCAGCTTTCCTTTAATGAAACTTTGGGCATTACTCTGACTACAGCAGCTGTGTCTGGTGCTATGATGACAACAGCTGTGTTTGTGGTGTTTATTTGCTACCGTCAAACACCTATGGTAAGAACCTAGAGTGATGTAAACAAAACTATTTTATCAAATCCTCACTGCTGTGAAGTTTTAGTTTTTTTTTATTTAATAAAATGTTTTGCTGCAAGGTGGATTATTACATTTTAAATCATTCTCAGTTTGGCTGTTAATGTGCGTGCATTTGTCTATGACTTCTCTTTTGCAGGTGAGAGCCAACAATTCAGAGCTGAGCTTCCTACTTCTTCTGTCACTGAAGCTCTGCTAAGAGTCCTGTTGCGTCATCTTGGTACTTCATATAATTGGAATCCATCTAATTTAATTACCATCTCAATCCTGGTCTTTACATATCGGTATTCCATTGGCTATGTCTATATTCATGTGCCATCCCGCTCTGATTGTGAACTTTTAAGTACCAATCCATCGATATTTCGCAGCCTCAAGTCAATGAGCTCAAAAGATAAATAGATTAAAGTCATCTCTTTTCTCTCCAACACTAATTAACTCCTGAACTTCGCCAATGCGTAAGTATCTTCGACCTGTGTCTGTCGCTGATCAAGCCCATAAATTAGTGGCGTGTGTTAGGTCCAGGCCAAACAAGCAGGATTAAGTGTCCGGCAGCTCCCTGTTCACTCAATGTGAGTTATATGAACAGTCGAAGGTCCTTGTTTAATTTATCCCTTTTATGACAATCAGTGTTTATAAACATAAGAACCACTACGATATTCTTGATCATAGCATGATATTGTATAAATATTTAGTCATATAACACTATCTTTAAGTATAATGCACAGCGTTTGTATGAGTCGAGCGATTAGAATGTGCCACGTGGCTGTCCGAGTCAATGGCGCCAGTCCCATCTATGGGCCACCGCAGCTCACAGCTTGCGCGCTGTTTCCGCAAGCGACGTCCCAACCTCCGTCTTTACAACCGGATCATCACACTGGACGTGGGCACAGCTCATGGTCTCTGTGTTGGGCAATTCTCTCTGGGTCTGGGCCTAACCCATCTGTGCCGCATCCTCGGCGAGCGGCATGCACAATATCCTTATGTTTGGCCTTGTGAATCTTTCCTCGTTTTACAAAATACGTCCCTGACCAACCTACCTAACAAACCGCAACAACTGAGCATTCACGCGTGTACAGCCGTTGTCTAAACTTTACAGTGCTGTCTGATGTGTGACCATAGATCTCTCTCACCATGCTGATTGAGACAGTTTACTCTCCTTGGTATAGTCTGAGAATAACTATGTGTCACTGTTTGGTATAATAGCTTTTTTTGCAAAATCGCGTTGGCCTGTCACAGCCTTACATTTCAGTGTGAGGTGATTTGCAACCGTCCGCAGGTCGAGCTCGCCCAGAAGGGTGGTTCATCATTCTCCGTGAGGCCTGATGAATAATCTCTAAGAAACCTGCATGCCTGCACCCCCCAGGAGTAAACTAGGGACATATAGGAGGGCATTAAGAAATTTTTGGACCCAATCCAAATACCTCCAGGCACAGATAGGATTCATCAATATTCCATACATAGCTCTTTTTGAATCCTCTTAGTCCTTTTCACTTTGCACAGATTCATTATATTATATCATATTATTTACACTGTATAATGAAAAATGAAAAAGTTATAGTTTTTATTTTCCAAAAAAAGAAAATATGATATGATAACACAGTTACTATTGTTTGCTAAAAGTGTACCTAGTGTACATTACCTGAAGGCTCTATCTCAAATTTCTTAAGATATTAAACCTTTGACAGAATAAAAATAAAAACAAACAAAAACATTCATATTATATTGTCAATCATTTGAAAAGCACAGAATGAAAGCAGGGTCATGTGTAGTGTTGAATATTTTAAATTGTGTTAACGTTCAAATCACAGATTTTACCATAGATTAAACAAACATTCATGTTTTTTTTATCAATGAAAATAATCAGTATCTCTAGCTCATAAATACATACAGTGTTGTGAAGTCACTGATCAATATCAGGAAGACAAATACTATCTAGTACAGTGGCCATACAAGATCTATTGGCAAATAAGCTAATAAGCTAAGAATGTTCAAAATAAAATAAACATAAAGTTTTAACTCAGTTTCCAGCACTACTGAAAGAGATCAGTTCCTGAAACAAACTCTGACCTAAACAAAGAAACATGATGGTACTGCAGTGTACCCTTGGATGTCACAAAGTGGTTTATGTGTGAATGTGTTTTTGTGAAGCAAGCGCCATCATGTGGTGACATCCTGCAATTGAATGAATGGTGCCTGCATGGGTATGTGTGCTGTGGAATTTTTCTGGAAACTGAATCCCAGCAGGCTTGCAGCCAAAGATGCTCAAATTCTGTGTGGCTGGGACTGTATTCATTAAAAATTCAGCTAATTTATTTTTCAGTCATTATGTGTTTAAATCCCTTCCAATCTGGGACTGTTATGAATTGAAAATCTTTCCCAGTTGACATGGTGCGGTAAAACACATTCCAGCAGCTCATTTGACGACAATAATATTTTATTAAATAAAAATTAATTTCATCCAGAACATTACAAACTTTTTCTCCCAGTGCAGTGATTTCATCCCATTTCTACACTTCATTAGAGGCTGGCAGAGGCAGTTCAGATTAAAATTGAATTGCTGGTGGAAGGATATGAACCTGCTAAGGGAGCAACGTTTGTTCTGTCATCTTAAGCTACTTAACTCGCCTGACAATTTTTTATCCATCTGCAGAGCTCTTCAGAGATAAAAATGCAGTCACTGAGTTATTGGAGAATAAAAACGGCATCAGCCATGTTCTTGGAAAATAGTTATATTCACCTACAG